CTGTAGGAAAGAGTGGAGGTACGTGTCCAGCCAGTCTTAGGACTGATGACCTTATGATGATGAAACAATTTTGCAATTTGCGTGCACAGTTCCTATGTAAATTTTTCCCTCATTCGAGTTATAAATTTTGCCACCAGATGGTGTATGCCCATTTGACGGATCCTAATACAATACGAAACGTTTACCGAACATAGAAATTACACAATTTTTGTCGGCATCTCTTCTATTTATATCGCATAAGCGGTGAATTTTCTAGTTTGATAACCCTCCCCCCTTTATCTTCATAAGTAGTGATATTTTAAAAATTCAAAATAATGGTTTATGTTATTTTTTATGATGATTTCATGTGTGATACTAGAATTTTCATAAACCTGTTAATGTATAGGGTATATGAAATCATACAAATGACGCGGTAAACGCCATCTGTAGTACAATGCTACATTTAGTGGATTCAATATGCTCAACAGCTACGCGCAGTTACGCCTAGATTCAGTTCAGTAAGTATCCATCTATTTAAATGGACCTTGTTGAGCATATTGAATCCACCAAGTGTAGCATTGTACTACAGATGGCGTTTGTAGGATTTCATAAAACGCACTGTGTTAAGGCAGCAAGTATAGTTGTACCCTAAATTTTTCTTCCTAAGAATACCTCATTTTTATATAACAAATCCCCCTCAATTCACAATCAAAACTACAGAACACGTAACTAATTGTTTAAATCAATTATTTTAACTTTTTAACCAATTCGTTCAAATATCCTTCCAATATCCCTTCTATTCCCATATAAAAAAGCCATGACATATTTTAACATTTCGGGGCGGGAATAATCGGCCAGTAGGCAGAATGTTAACTATAAAACTCTCTAATACGTATTCGAGAAAAATGGACTACCATAAATTACTACATAATTAATTTTTTGTGAGAACTTTTAAAACAATTGCTTATGATGGTTGGTTTTTTATCTCCTGTACACGCAGCGTGAACTTAACGATCATAAGTGATACAGCGGAACCACAGCTCACTATCATTATCGGAGTCATAACAAATAAAACGTAATTCTGTTTCAACTTCATCGTCTGAACAATCGTTAATACACACAAAGTTAGTATCAGCAATTTCTTATGCCGAAGGGTATAATGTGTTGCATACCTATTTACAAACAAATTGTTCACAAAAGTGAATTTTAACCACTCAAAGCAATGGTACTAACAGTTTCGAGCTCACAGTGACTGATAGGGGGTAAGAACTTGTATATATATATATATAAAAAGAAATACAAGTAAAAAATAGTATTCATACAAATGCAATTTGAAACCTTTGAAGAGCGTTTACACTTTGTTCAAGATATTCCGGAAGTTCGATTAGTTTAGGGCAATTAACAGAGAAGCAGGCGATGGTTCAAGGTAGACGTGGTTCAAGTTTACCACATTATGCATTTTCACTCGTGCGACATAGTGAGAGAAACTACTGACAAAGAAATGTATGTTATATTTTGCCTTATCCATATATAAAATAAAGGTATAAAAGATTGTTACCAGTAAAATTCCTTCCTGTATTGCAGCAAATTCCCATTCGCATTGCAAGAGGGCATGCCTCCACTTTTTCCTTTCTTACGTGAATAGGACACTCAATTGGTAAAACACACGTAAAGGAAGACTTGCAACCAGTCTCAGTTTTTGTAAACGTTTCTGTCTCCGTAGTTGGCGGGGTAGACTCTGTTACTGTTTTGTTGGTTACGAATTCAACTGCTTCAATATTTAAGATTTGCAAACAAAGTATTATCAGTACCATTTGTACAACATTGGTATCCTGGTGCCATGTATAATACATTATGAGATTATAACCTGAAATAAGAAATGGTAAATTGCACAATTTCTTCTTAATGAAAACCAAGCCCAGTGGCTGTTTGAGTTTGAGTCACATTTCCTTATATTTTCCGGACATTGTTATGGCGAAACGAGGATGTTTGTAATAAGGGGAGAGAAAGAGAGGAATCCAGATATGTGGTAGGTCTGACGGAGATTTTGTGAAGGTATTTAGAAAGGGAGAGGGAAACAATAAGTGTAATAATAAAATAATTTGTTTACCGTGAAAGATTAGAGTCAAAATAAGGTTGCAAATAATTTTATTGATGTAAAATCAATATCAATCATTTTATATGAAAATAATTACAACCCCATTTTGTTTCTGATCTTTTACACATTGTAACAAGAGAAAAAAATGGAATCCATAATTTCTTTAGTTTTAGGTTCATCTAGTAAGTGAAGTTTTTCGAATCGTTTTTTAAAAATTTTGGATTATATGCATTTATTAGTACACCATATATATATATCTTGTAGTTTTCAGTTTTATACAGCTAGCGTATATCAATTCGATATTTTTTTGCAGGCTGTTTTGTCGTAATTCATAGAATTTCGTAGTTCCTTTCTAAAGTGGTGATTTAGCAGATGCTGATATCAATTTGGAACTTCAAAATTCCATGGACCATAACATTGAACCCGCAAAACAATATCGATTCAATATTTTAGATTACCCATTTCCAATGAGTTTAGAATTTTTTGGGCTCTCTTCAGTTAAAAAATTAGAAGGTATTCAAGGAATATCTCTTTGTCCCCTTTTTAAGCTTCTAATACCTTCAATAGTCAATGTGAACAACTTACACTCATCATTTTGTATAATGATAATCAGTGATACCAGCACAAATGTATTTAACATTTTATAAATAGAAATCACGTTTGGAAAAGCATTTTAAATAAAATATAAGAAGCTTTTCTCAAAAGAGTATTTAAATGTAAGATAAAAATAGGTATTTTTTATTTTGTATTTGCATTTTAAACATTTTTAATTACTTTGAAAAACGGCAGGCATTTGAATTAAACGAAAAACTCTTGTAAAGCCAATTACTAATTATCTTCGAATTTAAAAGTGTGATAGGTGTTTTCCCGTTTGGAGCATGATTTAAAAACTCCTGAGACCTTCCCGTTTCCTGTAAAGTAAACTATTGTAAATTGTTCCCGTTTCGAGCAAAATTCGAACACCAATTATGGTTTGAAATATTCTAATTATTACAAGAGATCTTATAAGTTTTATAATAGTTAAGAGGTGATTGATGATAAAAGTATGTATTTACTTGAAGAGGGATTTACGTTTTTTGTAGATGAAACATTTCGGAGCTGCCGCCCTTTGTTTGAACAGTTATATACAGTAGAGATTAAACAACATCAGTAATACCTGCAGTTTATGCCCTTTTGTCCAATAGAAAAAAATTCACTCTTTTCAAAGAAAAAGAAAACTTTAAACCAGAAAGAAAATGCAGCAATTAATGTCGTGAATTAAATACCTACACCAAAACAGGCCAAAAAATGTATTTATTTGGATCAGCGCTGTCTAACTTATCATAGCCCGCGGGCCGTATTTTCTTCACAAAAC